AGTTAACATTGAACAACAACTATAGCTTACATTGCTAGCAGAGCTCTGAATTTGAGAAACTCTGGTTTTAGCTCTCTTTTGGGGGTGTTTTGCTATCAAAAACATTTTTAGAAAAACTTATAAAGCTGTGACCTCCATGTCTTGAAAACCACCAAAATTATTATTATTACTAATGCTGTTTCTTTGTATCACACAAGGCAAGATTTGAATATGTGCAGTCCAGATGTTTCTTTGAGGCTTGTTTAATAGGACCTTGGCTCTATGCCATGTCTGGCAGGTTCCTGCTTAGTGACACTCTGTGATTTTGCTGACTAAGGGCAGACAACTTTCTCTCTGTAATGTCTGGTTTTGGGGTTTTTTTTTTTTAAAAAAATAGTTTTTCATAAGTTGTTTACAACAAATAAAGTGAACAAATAAGTTGTTTTACAACAAATAAAGTTTGTGATGCCTTTTTTATCCTGTTCTGTATCTTTCAATGATGCACTTGTATTTATGTTTGGGGGACAACATCAAGTGTGCCCAGTACCCAGTACTTTTGCTCAATACATTTGGTTGAACAATATTTTGCTTAGGTACCAATGGAAAGGCTCCTACAGTATTTCCTATTTGATTGGGTATTCTGCTATCTATGATTCATTCTGCCATCTATTCCTCTATCTTCCTAATTATGAATTGTGAAGAATTTTCAGCTGATCGCTCATTTAGAAACTTATACTGGGTGAAAGGGGCTAAGTTGGAGGTTTTTCATTGGTCTTCCTACTAATTATAATATGGCATGCCTTTCAGTTGATATCTTTAAATATAATACTCCCCTCCCCTGCCTCACGCAGAAACTGCGGTCTAATGTGCAATTCAAACATGTTAATGTATTTGTCTTAGGGACCACATTGCCCCTGAGGCCAAACCAGTAGCCCGTATGAGATCAAAAAATTTGGCCCTTCCAGAATTTGTAGCCAATTTCCATCCATTTGAGGGAATTTGGGGTTAGGGGTTTCAAAAGGCAAAGCATTACAAAATGAGGGGTTTTATCTCATTATTTAAAATGTGAGTTTTGAAGGCATCAGGAACTGGAAGAGATTATTGACATAGGCTCCAGCAAAGGATCACCGCCTTGTCGGGGCGCTGGAGCTTGAGCACCTCAATGATGTCATGAGCGAAACCGTGAAGGGCACCCAAGACGGGACGGTTGTGGCAGAGAGGTCAGACAAAGCGTGATCCCTGGGGAAGGCAATGGCAAACCACTCCAGTATCCTTGCCAAGAAAACTAAATGGACCAGTACAACCAGAGATATGTCGGTATGCCATTGGAAGATGGGACTCCCAGGTCGGAAGATGGCCAAAAAGCTACTGGGGAGGAGCAGAGGATAAGTTCAACTAGCCCCAGATGTGATGACGCAGCTAGCTCAAAGCCGAAAGGAAGGCTAGCGGCCGACGGTACTGGAGGTGAACGACGAATCCGATGCTCTAAAGATCAACACACCATAGGAACCTGGAATGTAAGATCTATGAGCCAGGGCAAATTGGATGTTGTTATTGGCGAGATGTCAAGACTAAAGATAGACATTCTGGGGGTCAGTGAACTGAAGTGGACTGGAATGGGCCACTTCACATCAGATGACCACCAGATCTACTACTGCGGACAAGAGGAACATCGAAGAAATGGAGTAGCCTTCATAATTAATAAGAAATTCGCTAAAGCGGTGCTTGGATACAACCCAAAAAATGACAGAATGATCTCAATTCGAGTGCAAGGAAAGCCTTTCAACATCACAGTGATCCAAATATACGCCCCAACCACAGCTGCTGAAGAAGCAGAAGTAGATCAGTTCTATGAGGATCTGCAGGAACTACTGGATAATACACCAAAAAGAGACATTATTTTCATTACAGGAGACTGGAATGCCAAGGTGGGAAGTCAAATGACAACAGGGATCACAGGCAAGCATGGTCTGGGAGAACAAAATGAAGCGGGACGCAGGCTGATAGAATTTTGCCAGGAAAACTCGCTGTGTATAACGAATACTCTCTTCCAACAACCTAAAAGACGGCTTTACACATGGACCTCTCCAGACGGTCAACACCGAAATCAGATTGACTACATCCTTTGCAGCCAAAGGTGGCGGACATCCATCCAGTCGGTGAAAACAAGACCTGGGGCTGACTGTAGCTCAGATCACGAACTTCTTATTGCCCAATTTAGAATAAAACTAAAGAGATCAGGGAAAATACACAGACCAGTTAGATATGATCTCACTAACATTCCTAGCGAATATACAGTGGAAGTGAAGAACAGATTTGAAGGACTAGATTTAGTAAACAGAGTCCCAGAAGAACTATGGACAGAAGTCCGCGACATTGTTCAGGAGGCGGCAACAAAGTACGTCCCAAAGAAAAAGAAAACCAAGAAGGCAAAATGGTTGTCTGCTGAGACACTGGAAGTAGCCCAAGAAAGGAGGAAAGCAAAAGGAAACAGGGATAAGGGGAGATATGCCCAGTTAAATGCGGAATTCCAGAGGTTAGCCAGAAGAGATAAGGAACTATTTTTAAATAAGCAATGCATGGAAGTGGAAGAAGACAACAGAATAGGAAGGACATGAGACCTCTTCCAGAAAATTAGAAACATTGGAGGTAAATTTCAGGCAAAAATTGGTATAATAAGAAACAAAGATGGCAGGGACCTAACAGAAGCTGAAGAGATCAAGAGAAGGTGGCGAGACTATACAGAAGATCTGTATAGGAAGGATAATAATATTGAGGATAGTTTTGACGGTGTGGTGAATGAATTAGAACCAGACATCCTGAGGAGTGAGGTTGAATGGGCCTTAAGAAGCATGGCTAACAACAAGGCAGCAGGAGACGACGGGATCCCAGCTGAACTGTTTAAAATCTTAAAAGATGATGCTGTCAAGGTGATGCATGCCATATGCCAGCAAATATGGAAAACACAAGAATGGCCATCAGACTGGAAAAAAATCAACTTATATCCCCATACCAAAAAAGGGAAATGCGAAAGACTGCTCAAACTTCCGTACAGTGGCCCTTATTTCTCATGCCAGTAAGGTAATGCTCAAGATCCTGCAAGGAAGACTCCAGCAATACATGGAGCGAGAGTTGCCAGATGTTCAAGCTGGGTTTAGAAAAGGCAGAGGAAGGAGAGACCAGATTGCCAATATCCGCTGGATAATGGAGAAAGGCAGGGAGTTTCAGAAAAACATCTACTTCTGCTTCATTGACTATTCTAAAGCCTTTGACTGTGTGGATCATAATAAATTGTGGCAAGTTCTTAGTGGGATGGGCATCCCAAGCCACCTTGTCTCTCTCCTGAGGAATCTGTACAAGGACCAAGTAGCAACAGTAAGAACTGACCACGGAACAACAGACTGGTTCAAGATTGGGAAAGGCGTACGGCAAGGCTGCATCCTCTCACCAAACCTTTTTAACTTGTATGCAGAACACATCATGCGATGTGCGGGGCTGGATGAATGCAAAGCTGGGGTGAAAATTGCTGGAAGAAACATTAACAACCGAAGATATGCAGATGACACCACTCTGATGGCCGAAAGCGAGGAGGAGCTGAGGAGCCTTCTAATCAAGGTGAAAGAAGAAAGCGCAAAAGCCGGGTTGCAGCTAAACTCAAAAAAACCAAGATTATGGCAACAAGAATGATTGACAACTGGAAACTAGAAGGAGAAAACCGTGGAGGCCGTGACAGACTTTGTATTTCTAGGTGCAAAGATTACTGCAGATGCAGACTGTGGCCAGGAAATCAGAAGACGCTTACTTCTTGGGAGGAGAGCAATGTCCAATCTCGATAAAATAGTAAAGAGTAGAGACATCAGACTGGCAACAAAGATCCGCCTAGTCAAAGCCATGGTATTCCCTGTAGTAACCTACGGATGTGAGAGCTCGACCTTAGGGAAGGCTGAGCGAAGGAAGATCGATGCTTTTGAGCTGTGGTGTTGGAGGAAAGTTCTGAGAGTGCCTTGGACTGCGAGAAGATCCAACCAGTCCATCCTCCAGGAAATAAAGCCCGACTGCTCACTGGAGGGAAAGATACTAGAGACAAAGTTGAAGTACTTTGGTCACATCATGAGGAGACAGGAAAGCCTAGAGAAGACAATTATGCTGGGGAAAGTGGAAGGCAAAAGGAAGAGGGGCCGACCAAGGGCAAGATGTATGGATGGCATCCTTGAAGTGACTGGACTGACCTTGAGGGAGCTGGGGGTGGTAACGGCCGACAGGGAGCTCTGGCGTGGGCTGGTCCATGAGGACACGAAGAGTCGGAGACGACTGAACGAATGAACAACAACAACAACAAATTGACATAGGCTTTAAAAAAATAACCCTCAAATGTTAGCATGTATAGAATTCCAAGAAACCAAGTGCTTTATCCCATAATGTCAAAATATTAGATGCAAGCTGTAAATAACATAAAAATAACCAGAAAAAAATCCATCCAACTTTTTGTTATGTGTGTGCATTATTCTTTGTAGTAGCATCATGGATGTGATTGTCAATAGTTTGTCAATAGATTGTCAACTGGGATTTGGGGGGGGAATAATTTGATGAAAAAATACCCGTTGAGCTTTTTGTTACCTGAATAATTTCATTGGTAGTTTTGCCACAGACAAGAAATATAACTTGCAAAACACACTTTCTGTCCTACAAGTGAATATAATATGTTCATTGTGTTGTCGAAGGCTTTCATGGCCAGAATCACTGGATTGCTGTAAATTTTCTGGGCTGTATGGCCATGTTCCAGAAGCATTCTCCTAGCGTTTCACCTACATCTATGGCAGGCATCCTCAGAGGTTGTGAGGTCTCTTGGAAACTAGGCAAGTGAGGTTTATATATCTGTGGAATGTCCAGGGTGGAAGAAAGAACTCTTGTCTGTTTGAGGCAAATAATCTGTTATTAGACTACTAAAATATATACTTGCCTTTTTGTGTCTGTATCTAGTCTTGTTTTAAATAACTAAATTATCTGCTTTAAATTTGTAGAGTTGATTCTTCAAAACCAAAATCGTCAAACAAGCAAGTATCTTCAAAAGGAATGGCTACACAGGCAGAAAAAAATGGTGGCGATCCTGAAGACCTCTTTGATGATGTCTGATCATCCAGAAGATTATGATTTCACTACAAGTTATTAAGCTACAATTAATTATTTGTCTAGTCAAAGAAAGCATTTCACTAAAGCGGGTATTTGTACATTAAGATAACATTAAACAATGGTTTATCTTTTTCTAATAAAGTTGTGTTTGATCCCCCTAGTGGTCAATATTTTTACTCAAGACATTAAAACAGTTGATCTGCCTACGGTTGATTTGTGTGAGAGAATCTAATCTTCCCTCAGGGTTAGGAAGTAAAATTAACCAGACCACCAAGGTGGCAGCAATAAAGCTATGACAGGGATGAAAGTCTGCAGTCCGTTCCTTCAGGCAGAAAGGTGTCTTATGACCTATAAAACACTTACATGGGTAGCAATAGGATATTTCTCAAGTTCAGTATTCTCCAATCCTCTATCAATCAATTATATTAGATGCCAACAGATTAACTCTTTAAAAATTCCATATATTTCTAATGGGGATAAATAAACTTTAGTAGTTTTATTCCCCCCCCCCCCCCACATGTTATTTCCATGCCCCTTATGAAGAACTTTGAAAATTTTGGTGAGCTCTTAGAAAAAGTAAGTGAAATGGCATTCTCAGTTTGCCCTAGCTGCATTCAGTAGTACAGGGACCTTGTTCTGTAGTTGCTAAAATATAAGAGGAGGTGAAGAAGGGGAAACCTTAACTCGTTGCCATACACAGGCTCAATACAGAGATATTCAATGGCAGACTTTGAAAGTCTGCACAATCAACTGTCTCTGCCTGAATCTCATATATTTTCTTTCCCATTTATTAAATTTGGAAGTTTTTATTATAAAATAAATGAAAATGGTCACCTTTTGATTCCCTTTACTGCATTGCTAGAGTCCTCTTTATAGAAGACAGTCCTGTGTTTCATAGCACCTTTGTTTGAGGTCGCTATCCTTATGTCTAGTTTAAAGATAAATAATCATATGAAGGAAAGCAAGGATACTAAAACTACCTTTCAACATATAGCTACAGACTGATCAGGCACATAGGCACTGATCAAAATCCTACCCTGTATGGTAAGATACATAGTGTTTCCTTTACATTGAATTGTAATTCTTTCTATAGGTGACAATTAATATATGCATGTTTTTACTCAAAGCTACAGTTTCTTTCATATACTGTCTTGGAAATGCTTTTCATATTTTTTCAGCAGAATGTTAGTGACCATGCTGCTTTTCATTGAATTCCATCATGCCTAGATCCAGAAGCAGATTACAACTGCCAGTGCCTTTGGAGGGAGAGAAAAGGCAGGCATAAATCCTTTATGTCTAGCTTCAGAAGGAGATGAAAGGCTTGCAGTCTGTCCCAACTGACACTGCCTTGGCCTCAGAGGGAAAGAAGAAGATACAGCTCCATCATGCTTCTATCTATCCCTACTGCCAGTGCCTTGGTATCAGAGGGTGAAGTAAACTTGTAGTATCTCCTGGACTTGATTTCTTCCCAGATTGGTCCTTGTGCGCTATATCGTATTTAGATTGTTAGGGAGCTGTTTTGTACTTGTAAAGTGTCCTAGACAGAGCTGCAGCTTAGCAGCAAAGTTCAAGCAGATTCACTGATATCCCCAAGGTCAATAGTCCAATGTCAGAAATGCTGATTACAAGAGTCCTTAGAAAGCAGTAGAATATCTAAAAGTCTGGTCCATAGTCAGAAAAGTGAAGTTCAAATAAACAAAGGTGCCAGAGCAAGAAATCTGATTACCAGAAATTGAAGCCAGAAGTTCTTGAGTAGCAAACCGAGAAGCAACAGAGTCAGGTCCCAAGACATGAGCTAATAGGCATTGGACTCATGCCAGGTAGCAATATCCACCTCAAAAGAGTCACCTCACAGAGGGCTTTTACTTTTAATTTCAGCTAGTGCTTGATTCATGATAATTTCTCATCTCATCTCATCTCTGAGACCTCCAATATCCTGCCTGTTCTTTCCTATGCTCTAGAGGTATGGCTATGTTTAACCCCTCTGTAGCTTGCTCAGATGTACTTGTTTTACCATCCTCTAGAGCAGCGGTTTTCAACCTGTGGGTCCCGAGGTGTTTAGCCTACAACTCCCAGAAATCTCAGCCAGTTTACCAGCTGTTAGCGTTTCTGGGAGTTGAAAGCCAAAACATCTGGGGACCCACTGGTTGAGAACCACTGCTCTAAAGAAACTTGTCTAGTTTGCAGGGGAGTGTTTGCAGCTGCTGAGGGCTCATCTACAGAGATTGAGATAGGCAGGGCAAACTACTGGGAGCTGCTGGCCCCCAACTCCTCTGCTGGACCATCTAGCAACTCCCCACCCTCCCTATACAAACTGGTCATGACATAAAGTGCCATTTATAGTGATGGTGCTATATAAATAAAAGGGGGGGGGGAGAAGGAAGAGAATTCACAGTAAGTTACCTGACAAATTAACTTCTGAAGTATTATTTTCTACAACAGAAGGCAAGCTATAACATTCCTAGTATAGCTCTGATTGCATGGCTTTGTTTTCATAGTGGCTGTTACAGAACAAAAGTGTGTTTGGGTTATTTGTACTACAAAATGCTTTGTGGAAAATAAGTGAAAATATTTTTCTTTAAGATTGTTAAATTGTGATTTATGCCACCTGCAATCTAATGGTACACAACTGTTGGGTGTAGAACATAAATCCTGCAGGGTATCTTCAGCTCCTGAGATGAGTTTTCCGATCCAAGACTCTTACAGTCGGCTTGGAACAAGTGGGTTAGAAGATAGAATCCTTGAGTTGGAAGAGACCTTGTGGGCCATCCAGTCCAACCCCCTGCCAAAAAGCAGGAAAATTGCATTCAAGGAAAGGAAAGGAAAGGAAAGGAAAGGAAAGGAAAGGAAAGGAAAGGAAAGGAAAGGAAAGGAAAGGAAAGGAAAGGAAAGGAAAGAGAACAGGACATTCTCCTCCACTCATCCATGCTATCCTCAGCTATGCTTAAGAAATCCCAAGGTCCCGGAGACAGAAAATTGCAGTAACCCAAATGGGATGTAAGCAAGGCATGCATTACTGAGGCCAGCTCAAATTTCTCCAGGAACAGGCATAGTGGTACATTGGTTTTAACTATGCCAATGTATTCCTTGTCACCATTGAAACCTGGACCTCTAGGCTGATTCCAGGAGGGAGGGGTGTACACTCATCTACAGTCTCATTTTGTTCCAAATTAATAGGCACTCAACCACCTGAGTTTGCTGCAAAAAGGAATAAAGCAACAGCTGTGATAGCTATTTCCACTTTTCAGTGTTCAGCCCACAAATAGCAGTGATGAGGAGAATAGAAGTAATTTCCTTAAGAATGCTTTGATGGGAAGAAGATTCATCTTTTAAAATGCTGTTTGGAACCATTCTTTTGTTTGGTGTTATTGCTTCAATGCCACTTTCCCTCATAAAGTTACTGTTTCTTTCTTCCTCATGTATTGATTGCAGGCACAAGCACAACATGCCAGTGATTCGATTGTGGATTGGATGGTATACTACACTACATAGGAAATGAAATTTAGCCACACAATGATCCCTTTGATGGCAAGAAAATCCAGCTGTGAGAGTAAGACAGATAGGAAGACATTTCTTTAGATTCTACTAAAACTATCAAGAAATTCGCATTTGTTTTTTGCTACCAGCAATTGTTGGTTTAAACATTCTGACTCAAGCTTAGTCTGTGCTGGTTGCTACTAGGACAGATGGTGCAATTCAAATCTGGGCAGAAGCAAGAGAATGCCGGAATATAGCAAGATTATATTTCCTATATGGAACTCCCATTACAGCAGTCACATCTTTATGATTCTACATTCTTCATGACCCTAGAGTTCTGATATTTGTTTCTTTTGGTTTTTCAAGTTTAACATTTGCTGGCACATTGAATTCCACAAAGGTTCAACCTGCATAATCATGTTAGACTTCACAAAAACCAGGAAAGGGAGGGAGAGACAACGACTTCCTAACGAAAAAAATAATGTTAAAATAGGATAGTGAAACCAAATTATAAAAGTATAGAAATATGAAAGTTAGGCAAACACTACTTGCTTTGTGAACACTGTGTATGGCTCTCTAAATAGTGGAAAAGGAAAAATGCATATAAGACAGAGTTAAAGAAGGGGTGAAGAATTAACAAATTGGTAGGAATTTTCATGTAATGCTCATTTGCTTTCTAAAGTAGAAATACACATTCTTTGTAATTTTTTGAATTCATGTTGGCTTTTTAAAAATAATTTGAAGGCAGTAAAACATAGGCTAACAGATCTGTAGATATATCATGCTAATGCTAAAGAACCATAGTATTTGATATACATTAGAAATTGTATTTCTGTATTCTTTCTTGAGCTTTAAAACTAGACAGAAGGAAAAAAAGGTTTATTACATGGTACCAGAATCCCAGTAATAAGAATACATATATAAGATATGATAATTCCCATATTTTCTAAGACAAAAGCTGCCCTATGGAGTATTTTGTAAGAAGAGCAGAATCACACAGATGAGAGGGAATTTCAACAAGAATGAAGCATTCTTGAAACTCCGTTTATAGAGAAGGGATATCCTGAGATGCTGCCTAGAGAAAACAGACAGAGGACAACTGCCAAGTCACAGGATGTTCTCTTGAGAAATAAGGAAAGGGTTGAGAACAACCAATAAATTGTACTCTTGTATTCTGTTATGTATCTAGTGGTCCACAGAGTAGCATTCGTAGATAGTTGGTTTCTCTAACAAGATATTCCTGGATGTAAAAAACAAGTCTGTGAACTGAAAATTGTTTTTTTTTTAATGTATTCACAACAGATACCTTTCACCTCGTAACATACCAGGGATCCTACATTTATAAACAGATAAAAACACTAAAAACAATAACAATAAATAAATAAAAATAAATATTTAAAAACAGACTCCTTGAAATAGTTTTAAGCACACAAACAATGAATACAGCCAAAGTAGCTGCCCCTGGTTTAAGAACTGGATGCCATGCAAAACAACACAGTCTTAGCTGCCTGCCAGATACTCACAAGGGATGTGTTGGAAGCAAAGAGGCATCGGTGCTTGAGAGAGGGGGGAGTCTAAATCATGTCTGCCCTTTCCTTTCTCCCCTCTGTATTTTTCTTTGTTCTGTGCTCAAGACTTTTGCTTTATTCATATCTGTAGACATCACTTCTCCATCTCTCAGGA